TTCAGTTCTTAGTCCTTTAGTTCTACTCATAACCCTTACTAACATCCAATGGCTCTACTGGTCAGCTTAAGACAATGGCCCAGGAAAAAAAGCCAACAAGAGCACACAAATACAATAAAGGAGGGGCAGGACACATGTGTTTGGCAAATGGTAGAGGGTTCTCCAAGCTCCTATGAGAAGACTGGGCTTAGTCTCCTCATCTTCTCACCATACCTGGCATTAGTTCAAGGTCATCCTGACCAGCTCTTACATTCCCCCTTGGCCAAGTCTCCCGGTAAAAGAATATAACTCCCTCTTGCTGGACACATATCAGCTTTTGGGGGTCTAGGCTGTGGTCCAAACTTGACCCTCCCTCTTTCCCTTTTCCTTCTTCTCTGTCTTTTGGAGACAGGATTTTCCTGTTGCAGCAAGCACAGCCCCAAATCTGTCTGATTCATTCTCTGCCAGGTGTCCTATAGGTGTTAGGCAAAGAATACCAGGGAGAAGGAGACTTCAAGCCATCCTGGGCTGAAGGTCTCAGACCCACGTCTGATTATACAATCCAGATAGAGCACCTTGACAGCAAAAGAGCCACCAATTTCCACTACCCCAGTAAATCAAGACCTCATCTTTGCTCACGTAGTATGTTGCTGCATGAGATAGCTCCCTTTTATTTTTCATAATAATTCATTGATGTACAACCAGAACCAATTTGTAGCTATAAACTGCATGGGAAGAAATTGCCCATCTTCTCCTGAGGAGCAACTAGTGGATTGAAACTGCCAGAAAGGTGCCACGTTTAGGTTTACAGTGCAACTCTCTATGGACTAGGCCACCAGGAAAAAACCCAACTCATTGCCAGCAAGTCAGAACCAACTCATAGCTGAGGCTCCAGCCGGTTTTCAGAACAGGAGAGATGATGCATCTTTCTCCCTCGGAGCAACTGGTGGATTCAAACCACCCACCTTTGGGTTGGCAGTACAACTTCCTATTCATTAGGCCACCAGAACTCACTTTTTTTTTACCTATCCTAAAATTCAGACTTAGTAAAGTAATTCAAAGTCTAGAAAATCCCTGCTTGCTTCTATTTCTCTCTAGAATGCATGTTCTCCTGGCATTTTGAGGACTCTTCTATTTCTTTAATCTCACCAGGATCTGTGCCATTGTGTACCTAACAATCCAATCACCCAGCCTACTTGGTTCCCCAGAGCACGCTCTGAGTTTAGCACATTATTCCCCTGGGTTGTTTAATCTGGTTTTCCTTTTTGAGGCGATCTTGGGTGGTATAGTTACCATGCTCATCTGACCCCTGCCAGGGCCACATTTCTATGTTGATATATATGTAATCACCATGAGTCAGAATGGGCTTGACAACACCCTGTTTCTCACTTACTAAAAAATTTCTCCATTCTTCAAAGTCTCTTCAAAAACCATCTTCCTGAAGAATCTCCCAAGTCTGTGATCTGCATTTTTCTGAGTCTTCCAGTAGTCTTTATCCCGGGAATGAATGCATTTTTTTTGCCGTTTTCCATTATTTTCAGGTCCACCCTTTGAAGTGGATTGCAAACTCCATTAGGGCAGACATCAGGTTTTTAGCATCCAGATCCAGCATCTGACACAAGTTAAGTGCTAAATAAAAGTCTGTAAAGTAGTACATAAACTCTCTTTCCGATTGGGTAAGACTGCAGGATATGTTGTCCTCCTGGAGAAACATAAACAGGATGCTTGTGGAGCAGCTCCTGCATTTAGTTATTATTTTTTTAAATCTCGCCTTTCCTCAGCCAGATGCTATTTTGTAACTGTCCTAGCCCAGCCAGTAAAAGAGCAAGAAGAGTAAAAGACCTTTGGACGTGTTTGATCTAAATGTCGCTCAGTAGTAATGGCACCAGTAAAGTAGCAGCTTCGCACAACTTTGGAACTAGAATTTTGCTCGGACCTGCACCTCGTACACACAGATCACCCCCGTAGCCTCCAACCCTTGCTTTCAGGACGTGATTTAATTATCCAGCCCATTCCAGAGAAAGAAAAGACTAAAGTCACTTTGGCGCCCCCTCTCCACCTTTTAATAAGAAGTACTCAGGGGTTCTCTGGTGTGTTCCTAGCTCGCATTTGAACGGAATCTATGCATAAGACGGCGCTTTAACTGCGCTTCTGGCTGGAGTCAGAACTTTGCTTGACCCCTTGCAATGTTTCCAAGAGTAGGTTCGCACATTCGTGACTATCCCTGGCAGCCGCCCAGCCCGGGACACGAAGCTCCACTCTCCATTGGCCAGCCCTCGGCATGACACACCGGGAGGCGGAGCCTCATCAGCTGTTTGCAGGATGCCCCGAGCGGGCGTATTTTGGAAACAATACCGCGCGGTGCCGAGTGGCCTCCTCCCGCGCCGGCCTGCGCCCACTGCCCGCCGCCGCCCCTTCCCGCGCCTCACGCCTCCTGCCGCTGCCGGGTGAGCGCCCGGGCGGCCTGGGGCCGGGCGGAGTCGGATCGCACCTCCTCGGGGAAGTGGGGAGCGGGAGTCGCGCGGCGCATGGGGGCCCAGGAAGGTTTGGGCTGAGGGCGTTTGGGGTGACCATGAAAGACAGGGATGCTGGGGTGCGGGAACGGGGTGCCCAACCCACATCTAAGTGCGCTGCCCCCAGAGGGAACTTGAGGGTGTCATTTGGGACGCGGAGGAGTTTGGTCTTGGTGGGCAGGGGAGCCTAGGGTGCACTGCTGAGCGGACCTGGGTGCCTAAGAACGACCCAGTCTCTGGGTCTGACTTTGGGATAGAGTCCGGAGTTGTGGGGCATCCAGCCTCCCTGCGGAGTTTGAAGACTGCTCTCCTTAACAGCTGGGCTTTTTCCCTCCTTCTCAATCGAATCTGGGCGCCAAGCCCCCGAGTGCTCGTCACGCTGGACCCTGGCGCGGAGCCCTGGCATCACGACTCGGAGGCCGAGACTCTCTCCTGGAGTCACCCAGGTCTGCAGTGTGTATGTGTGTGAGTGTGTTCCCGATTTTAGCCACAATCACGGCTCAGGAGTGGTCACTGCTTCTTCCTGGGAGGAGCCGGGAAGTTCAGCATCCCTGCTAGAACTCAAAAGAGTCCAGGATCACTCCAGCAAGCTTGAGGCCCCCTATTAATAAAGCTTTTCTGGGCGGTGGTCTCAAGAAGTACCCACTTCACACCAGTCTGGACATCACTTTACCAGCTGAAGAAAGGCTTGGCTGTCTCTTCTAAACAATTGTAGTTTAAACGTGAACTTGCCTAGCATCCCCCTCCCACCCTTGCATCACTGGAGGGCCACCTGCAGTACCTGTGGAAAGTGGATGAAGACTTCTGGGCTTGCACAGCCACACCTTCTAGTTGCACCTCCCCCACTCTCCAGCCCAGGCCAGGGTCTAACTTTGGGGCTTTGCCGGGAGGGGGAGGTGACAGGCTTCAAAGGGAAAACCAGACAATGACTCTTGCTTGTGATTGGCCTTTGGAGCGCTCCTTTCTTAAGTTGTAGTCATTACTCTGGATGTGCCAGCCTGTTGACTGGAGGTTGAAGGGCAGAAGGGAAAGCCCTGCCAGAGACTGGCAGGGCAGCATTTGGTCCATCCAATAGGAAACTTACTTTGTTGGTGCTGATAATCTGGTATTTCCTCCCTTTTGGGAAACCCTATCCTGAGAACTCCATGTGTCTGCTTCTTGGTGGGCAGCTCACTGTCAGGGAAGAGGGCAGAGACATAGTTAATGGAAAGAGAGGGGAGGCAAGCACCCCAGAAAGAGCCTGCATTTGGTTATAAATGAATCTCTGAGTTATACTGAGATTCCTTCAGGTGATTCACTAAACCCTCAATCATTTGACTTGTTCCTCAAAGGCAAGAAATTTAGGATTGGAATCAGCAGAGATCCTTTAATTAGAGTCTTATGGTGACTGTCTCCCCATATTGTTAACCATACAGGTGATCGCTTTTCCTTTCCCAGAGGCCTAAAGGGGATCCTGCTCTGTATGTGTGTGTATGTGTGTGTGTCTGTGTTGGGGGCGGGGTTAGAAGTATAGGATGCTGAATGGTTTCAAGCTCAGACTTCCACGAGCTGTCAGGTAGAACAAGAGGAACTTCTGTATCACCGAGAAACTCGTATCAACAAGCTGAATAGTATAGGCAGCAAGTAAGGTCACACAGAGAGAGCCAAATTTCACTTCCTTCTATGAGGCATGTTGTACCCAATCTCAGATTCAGCAGGCGCCCACAAGAATGGTAGTCTGTGGGGACGGGGAGACTAGTGAATAGACAGTGGATACCAGATCTGCCCTCTAGGCTAACGTACTAGGGGACAGATAGCTGGACTGTCCTCTGGAGAGCTTCAGTGACTAACTTAGAGGGCCTTTTCCCTTTCCCTCTCCCAGGACATGCTCTTACCACACCTCAGAGCCTGTTTGTTGTGTTGAGCAATAGGGGGTGGAGAGTAGGTGGGCACTGGGCGGAGCTTAGCAGGTTTGGAGGGAACCTCGCTGCAGAAGGAGAGCTAACTTTTGTTATTGCTGCAGAGCCTGAAGCTCAGTCTACACTGAGATGAGAGCTTGGTGGTTTACTCCTTAAAGTGTGTGTGTGTGTGTGTGTGTGTGTGTGTGTGTGTGTGTGTGTGTTGTGAGAACTGGATGTAGACCCAATCAGAATGGTCATAGCCCTCCTTCAGTAGGTCACAGAGACTAGCTTTTTTCATATTTCCTAGGTATCCTGTGTGTCCCTAGCAGCTGATCCTACCCCTGCTATTGCTCACAACACTCAAACATCTTGACTGGCCTGGACAGAAGAAGAGGCCAAAGGGAGGGTGAATTTGCGTGACCCCAGAAAAGGATGTGAAGAGTTTCTGAATATAAGGCAGTCCATAGTTTGTGGGTGGCAGTGCTTTCTCTTCAAGTTACTGTGTCATCAATACCTGGCCCAGGTCCTGCAGGGAAAAGGGAAAGGAGGGGAGAGGAGGAGAGTCCTTCTAGGTGTGTCCTGGGTGAAGCAGCATCCCAGAAGCCTGCGTTGCTCACTGACAGGGGAGATGGAGCCGCCTCAGTGTGTGGAGGAGTTGGAGGATGATGTGTTCCAAGAGGATGGGGAGCCCGGGACCCAGCCCGGGGGCTTGCTCTCTGCTGACCTGCTTGCCCAGAGCCAGCTGGACTGCCCACTCAGCCGGCTTCAGCTCTTCCCTCTCACCCACTGCTGTGGCCCTGGGCTTCGGCCCACCAGCCAGGAAGACAAGGCCACTCAGACTCTCAGCCCAGCCTCCCCAAGCCAGGGTGTCATGCTGCCTTGTGGGGTGACCGAGGAACCCCAACGACTCTTTTATGGTGAGTGCCCTTAGCCTCAGAACTCTTCCCACAGAGGTTGGGGGGAAAGAGGGGACTTTCCCTCCCCAAACCTACCCTTTGCTATTTCCTTCCCCAAATTGAGCAGCAGAGACAACTGATTCCTCGACTCTTACCTTCTGCCTTTCTGCTCTGTCTTGGTCCTCATCACTGCTCCTCAGATCCCAAGACAGCAAATTGCCCACCCCTGCTTTCTGTTCTTTGGTCCCTTCCTGGAGGAATCTTTGAGGCCATAGTGTTCTCTTGGGCTGCAAAGAGGGTTTCCATCCTGTGCCCCCTTGAATAGCCCACCCAGCCTTTTGTATTCTGGAGGTGCCTTCCAGAGTGACTGATACTGCTCTGGAGAAGCCTGAGAACTCCATGCCTGTCTGTGTCTGTTGACACTGAGGGGAAAATCCAGCCCTTTCTGGGAGGGAAGGTTCCTCAAGGCAGAAGGTGGCCCCCAATTGTCACTTGGGACTTTCTGTGCTTAGAAGGGGAACTGGAGAAAGAGGTCAGGCCTTCCTGGGCTCTAAGCCAGCAGAGGAACTCCTTCCAAGGCTAAATCAGACAAGACCCCTTCATTTGTGGGCTTAAATAACTTGTTTTATGAGACATATGCCCTTCTCTGGCAAAAGGGCAGGGCTAGACACTCCGTCTGTTTTCCTCATTTAATACAACAGTATTTGGAGGGAGGGGGAAAGTTCGGAGGCTATCTTGCTGGTGTCTGACGGCATGGAGTGAGACGCTGCGGTATTCCCAGAGGGGGCTGTCCTGTAGGACAGTTCTGGCAGAGTGATTCTGGCAGGCGTCTGAAAAGTTGCTTGAGACCCAAGAGGGCAAGGATGGAGGTGGCGGGCGCCCCTAGTGGCAGCTCTCATGTCAGTGCTCGATAAGTATGGAGATGGTTTATGCATCTCAACCGGCGGCTTCCAGAGGAACCTGGCGGTTGATCGGGTCTGAAGATTTTTTTTTTCTCCGTACTTTTTGTGCTGCTAGCCTGAACTTTCAGAGCTGAGATGAGCGTTGTTCTGTTGCACTAATAAATTGAAGATAGACTTTAGTCTTCTTTGTCCCTTGCTATACTCAATCCAGGAGCTCTAGAGAGCTACCTCTAATGCTTTTTTTAAGAGTGCTCTTCAGCCTGCCGTGAAAGGGGCAATAGAGTGTTGTCAAGTGTACCCTGTTAAGTAAGGATAGAAGGTTGACAAGTTCCCCACACACGTTACTGCCTTGGTCACTGCCATGTCACAGAGAGGCTGAGGTCACGGTGGTCTTCTACTGGCATCAAAGTTTAAATACTCAGGGCAGTGGGCAAATCAGGCTGTCTAGCTTCTAGCTGAGTTCCACTCCTTCCCACACTAGGGCATACTTCAGCCCTGACCATCAGCCTGGAGTGTGGACCACAGGGAGGATGGGGCAGTTGTGAAGAATGCTGAGATGTGGGCCCTCTGTTTTTTGCAGGCAATGCTGGCTACCGGCTCCCTCTCCCGGCCAGTTTCCCAGCAGGCTTGCCACTTGGGGAGCAGGCCCCTGAAGGGCAGTGGCAACATCGAGCAGAGGTACAGATTGCCCGAAAGCTTCAATGCATTGCAGACCAGTTCCACCGGCTTCATATGCAGCGGGTAGGCATGGGGTCTGGGGTCCTGGGCATGCCTCTGTCCTCTTATCAGCAACTCTGTCACTGCCAGGCCTCAAGGATAAGGTCTCAGAGTTTTGACCTTGGTGGTTGTGATTCCCAGGCAATAGGGAGGGGCCTGGCTAGATGAGCACTCTTGCCTTTATGTCTGAGCTCCAAGTTGGTTATCTGCCCGTGCTTAGCTCAGGCACCATAAGAGTGGGATGCTGGGAGAAGCAGTGGTTGCTTGCTCTAGTGGATGAATTTCTGCACACTGGATTGACACACAGTCTCTTCTCAAGAGCAGGGGATTGTCCCCCACAGACCAAAGGGGTCTTCTCAAGGTGTTGCAGTGAGACTGGATTTAGTAGAGGTGCCTGTCTGAGGTGCAAGGAGCGTGTAGCCAAGCAGCAAGCACGGCAAGTGGAGGGTTGGGGCCTGAGTGGGGGAAAGTGGTGGAACCAGTTGTAACCTGACACTTTCCAGCTGGGGAGGCTGCTCTGCACTGTCTCTGTCTGGGAACCGGGGCCTGGGACTCTGGAGAGCCTACCTCAGAGAGTCTTTCCAGTCTAGCGGGGAGGCCCGGCGCTCGGCCGGCCGGGTGCTTGGCCAGCAGCCTGGCACCAGCCCCGCCAGGGCGGAGCATCGCGTGTCAGCCGAGCATGTGGCAGAGTCCATCAACAAAGGCGGCGGCTGGCAGGCTCGTGCTGGAGGAGCCTTCCGTGCCACGGGCTGGAGGCTACCCGGCCTGTCGCTGTTGGAGCTGGGCCCCCAGGCACTTAACCCTTCCTCTCCAGGCTGGCTTTCTGGCTGGCTGCCAGGGCAGGGAGAGAAGCCCGAAGCTGGATCTCTGCTCGGACAACCACTACTAACGCAAAGACACATCAACCTGGAAATGAATCCATCCCCTGTCTCCGGGAGTGGTGTCTCTTGTCCCAAAGGCTGTGTTATCTGTCTGTCAGGAAATTCAGGGATAAGTAACTCCTCATGATTGGGTACCCTGAGATTAGATGAGTTACTTTAGGTGATTAGAGGAGAGTTGTGGGGCCAGTGATGGTTCGGTGGTAGAATTCTTGCCATTCATGCAAGAAACCCTGGTTCAAGTCCTGGCCAGTGTACTTCATGTGCAGCCACCACTAGTCTGTCAGTGGAGGCTTGAATGTTGCTGTGATGCTGAGCAGGTTTTAGCTGAGCTTCCAGACTAAGGAAGACTAGGAAGAAAGGCCCGATGATCTCATTCCAAAATTCAGCCAGTGAGTTGGAATAGTCTAATCTGGTAAGAATGGTGCAGAACCAGGCAGCATTTCCTGGGGTATATTATGGAGTCACATAAAATGGGGCTGACTCATTCACAGAAGAAGAATCTATGCCTTTGAGCTATGGTGCGAGAGAAGAGTATTGAATATATTCCATAAACTGCCAAAAGAACAGACAAATAAAGGGAGCTCTGGTGGCCTAATCCACCAGATGCTCTGCTGGAGAAGGAGGGACAGTCTCCTCCTGTACCAGTCAGATCTGATTTGACGGTACAATGCACAAAAAATAATAAAATTTAAAAAAAAAAAACCCAAACAAATACGTCTTGGAAAAAGTGCAATATGAGTGTTCCTTGGAAACAGAGATGATGAAGCTTTGTCTCATATACTTTGGGCTTATTGTTAGAAAAGGCCAGAACTTGGAAAAAGACATCATGCTAAGAAACGTGAAAGGTCAGCATGAGAGAGGAAGATCCTAAACAAGATGGACTGAGTGACTGTGAAATGGGCTCAAGTATATCAGAGATGGTGAGGATGGCACAGGGCAGGGAAGTGTTCACACCTATTGTTCGTAAGGTCTCTTGGTGTTGTAGTTAACTTGATGGCACTTAACAACAGCAACATTAATGACTAACATCAATAATAAGAACAATGGCAAAACCATTGCTAGTAACTCAGGACTGAAGGAGGAATTAAAACTTTGGGTTTCCTGAGAACAAGCTCTCAGGATTTCCATGTGGTTAGTGCCTCTGCCAAGGAGTTCTGAGGGAAGTTTCTAGAAAAGAGGTAGGACTAGCCCTGGTCTTGGTAGCTCTCCCTGGTGATTTAGTGATCAGAAAAGGAGAGCAGCTCTTTGCTTAGATAAAAAGGCAGCCTGGTCTTCTGCTCTGGCCAAGAGCTCAGTCCTTCTTACCTTGAGTATTACATGGAAACTTGGCTTAGACTTTCCCCTTCAGTCTGTGTGTGGACTCACTCTGATTCTTTATTTTATTCTCTTGGCTTTCTTCCTGCCCATTCACTCCACCCTAGTTATTCAGGCCTGTGGCTGAGCCAGCTCAGAGCTCACAGGAGGGCACAGTGGCTGTGGGTCTTCTAGACTCACCTCAGCAACCTAAAAGACATCCTTCACCATTTGCAATGAATCTGATTGTTCTCAAAAGTTGTTCCTCAGACTATGATCTTGTTCTTTGTGGATCCCATGTAGAGTGAGGAGCAGGCTGGGAGGCTCCCCCCCTTGCCCAGCCGTGCTCTGGTTCTGGACTGGGAAACATAATCCAGGGAACTTTCTTCCTGGGTCAGTCCTAAACAGGATGAGAGACTGTTTGGCATCATCCCCTTAGTTCAGGATTGCTTCTTTGAAGGTACTAGATCAGCCCAGTCTTCTTGCTGTTCAGCTGTAGGGAAAGGATTGTTCTCTCAGCCAGAACCGTGCCAGATGGAGAAAAGGAAGCACAGAGTAGGCAGATCCAGAGTACACCCGCATGAGACGCCCCCCCTTCCCTACATCTCACACCTTACTGATCACTGTGCACCCTCCTCCCCCTAGTTCCCTATGCTGCTACCCTCCTGCTATCCGCCTGCTTCTTTCAGCCTGCAGTAGCAGGAGGCTAGCCAGCAAGGCCTTTCTAACCCAAAGGGCTGGCCTTTACAAATGTTCTACTACAAAGAGCTAGCTTTAACATTTTCATCTCCTTGGGAATTCTCCCTGGAGTTCTCTTATTTCAACACTCCTCTCTTTTGCTGCTCGCTGACTTTCCCCAGGAGTGGGCACTGTGGGAAGGGCTAGGGTGATGGCTGTAAGCAAATGGAGCACTGGTATACTCTTTCTAGTACTTTAGCAACTATTTTGAAGAAAGGTGTTGCTTTCTGACTTTATGCGCTAGTATTTCCCATCTGGACAGTCCTGTGGTCACTCCTGTATCCTTGCTTATCATTCATCTTTGGTCCCTTTCCCCTTCTTATATTGTGTAGGGAAGGAAACTGAGACCCTAGAAAAGAAGTGATTTAGAATCAAGTCTCTAGACTTTTGATGCAGACTTCAAAGACCCCGGTTTGGATTCCAAACACTGCCACCTACTTATTAACTATCAGGAAGTCACTTGACTTCACAGAATCTATTTTTATTTTTTTTCAAATTGGAGCCAGTACTATAGAATTTTACTGTGAAGACTGAGTAGAATATACTTATGAATGTGTCAGGCATACAGAAAACTGGTTACTGTTGTTGTTTTTCGGTGCTGTCAAATTGAGTACAACTCACAGTGACCCTGTGAACAACAGATCTGAACCCTATCCTATCCTGTACCATCTTCACGATCTCTGACACCATCAAACCCATTATTATAGTCACCATGTCAATCCACCTGATTGAGGGTCTTCGTCTCCTTTGCCTTCCCTCTACCTTCCCAAGCATGATGTCCCTCTCCAATGAACAGCAACATGCTCAAAGTATGCATGGCAAACTTGTGTTATCTTTGCTTTCAAGGAGCACTCTGACTCTACCTTCTCCAAGACATGCCTATTTATTCTTTGGGCAGTCCATGGGATATTCGGCACTTTTCTCCAACACCACAATTTGGAAGCATTAATTCTTCTGTTGTCCTTAGTTGAGTCCTATTCATGGTGACCTTGTATATGCTAGGTAGAACCCTTCAGGAGTAGATCATCAGACCTTACAACGTACCTCTAGAAGAGCTTGAACTGCCAACATTTAAGTGAGCAGCCAGCTGCTTTAATCAGAGACTCCATGTAGAATTTTTTTTTAAATTTTGTTATTTTGTGTGTGTGCCGTCAAATCGAATCTTAATGGTACAGGAGAAGATTGCCCCTCCTTCTCCGGCAGAGCATCTGGTGGATTTGAACCTCATATCTCTAGGATTGCAGTGCAGCTTCTTGCCACTAGGCCACCAGAGCTCCCCTTCCATATAGATTTTTGTTTAATGTTTTCCTCCTTTGGTCTATTTACAATTATCATCTTCCTCAACATTTGTTGTTTTCTGGTCCCAGGTATTTTCCCAGCGAGCTGCTAAACTGAACCCTTAGCTCCCCTTGCCTGTCCCAGGAAATGTATCCAAGCTGTTCAGTTGTGGTTCATGGCTATATGAGAGGGTTTTTTAAAAAATTTCTTTCTCCTCAGAGAATGATTGCGTTCCCCATCATTTTAGGCTGAATTTAGAGAGGGGAGAGAGAGACAGTCCAAGAGGCCATAAGAAAATTGAGGAAGCATAGCTACCATCTTTCTTTTCTGGCACAGTGTCCTGGAACCAGTCAGTGGCCTTTGGTCCATGAATCCCATAGGGAGAGTGAGCTCCTGATTTTTGTCTCTGGTTACAGACCTCACTTCTTTTTCTGTGCCAAGATAAACCTCTCTAACAGGTGTAGGGTAGAGGTGGAGAGGGCCTGCTGAGGGGGAGAATGTTATAGAAGAACATTATGGCAAATTGAGTATATCAGAGTGACCCCACAGCACCAGGTTCCAGTTCTCCTGGTGTTAGTTTATGCAGGTTAGATGTCCTCTCATCTTATTTCCCTGCGTGGAGATCTAGCCTGGCTGTTCATGTGATCTGTTCAAGCTGGCTCCTCTGGACTAACAGTCAAGAAACTGGAGGCAGGAGATCTTAGCCAGGCGCATACTGTTGTCTCTTTGGGTCTCAAATGCAGCCAAAGAGTTGAAGACAGAGCAAGTAAA